AAAAAAAAAAAAAAGAAAATGTGGTACATATACACAATGGAATACCATTCAGCCTTTAAAACAAAAAGAAATTATGTCATTTGCAACAAAATAGATAAACCTGGAAGACATTATATTATGCTAAGTGAAACAAGCCAGGCAGTGAAGGACAAATATTACAGGATCTCACTTAAGTGGGGAATCTAAAAAAGTCAAACTCATAGAAACAGAGTAGAATAGTTGTTACCAGAGGCTGGGGGAGGAAGGAGGAGAAAAGAATGGGGAGAAGTTGTTTAAAGGGTACAAAGTTTCAGTTGGACAGGAGGAGTAAGTTTTTGAGATCTACTGCACAGCATGGTGACTATACTAATGTATATTGTTATTTCAAAGCTGCTAAGAGAGTAAATTTCAAATTCCCACAAGACAAGGATACGTACAGTGATGGATATGTTAATTAGCTTGCTTTAATCATTTCACATTGTATACAAAATCATATACATGTCAAAACATCACACTGTATGCAACAAATATATATGATTTGTCAATTAAAAAGTAAGAAAATCAAAATATCTCACCTTCTGTGTCCTCCAACATATCAAGTTTAACCGCCTTTGTTCCATCAAAACAAAATGCCCTGATGGAATTCAGCCCTAACAATAAGGCATTCTGCTTTATTTTTTCTACTTTGCTGAAGATTTTATCCAGTGCTATAACTTCTCCCTAAAAAAAAACAAAACACACACACAGAGAAAAAAAAAAAAAAAAAAAAGAACACTATAAATTCAAAGCAGTCAAGTCATAAAATCAATGAGAAAAACTGATGAAAAATTATGGTCTTTTCCACCATCCTCCCATCCCTACTTTAAAACCTCTATCCATTAACCAAATATATGTGTCCGGAATTTATTCCTTCCAGTGGGTTCTTGGTCTCTCTGACTTCAGGAATGAAGCCACTGGATGGGTGTGGTGGCTCACGCCTCTAATCCCAGCACTTTGGGAGGCCGAGGCGGGCAGATCATGAGGTCAGGAGATTGAGACCATCCTGGCTAACAAGGTGAAACCCCATCTCTACTAAAAATACAAAAAATTAGCCGGGTGTGGTGGCACGCGCCTGTAGTCCCAGCTACTCAGGAGGCTGAGGCAGGAGAATGGTGTGAAATCGGGAGATGGAGCTTGCAGTGAGCCGAGATCGCACCACTGTACTCTAGGCTGGGCGACAGAGCGAGGCTCATCTCAAAATAAATAAATAAATAAATAAATTTTAAAAACATAAAAAAAAAAGAAAGAAGCTGCGGACCCTCGTGGTGTTACAGTTCTTAAGGATGGTGTGTCTGGAGTTTGTTCCTCCAGATGCTCAGATGTGTCTAGTGTTTCTTCCTTCCGGGGGGTTTGTGGTCTTGCTGACTTCAGGAGTGAAGTCACAGACCTTCGCAGTGAGTGTTATAGCTCATAAAGGCAGTGCAGACCCAAAGAGTGAGCAGCAGCAGGATTTATCATGAAGAGCAAAAGAACAAAGCTTTCACAGCGTGGAAGGGAACCCCAGCGGGTTGCTGCTGCTGGCTCGGGAGGCCAAGCTTTTATTCCCTGATTTGGCCCTGCCCACATCCTGCTGATTGATCCATTTGACAGAGCACTGATTGGTCCATTTTACAGAGCACTGACTGGTCCATTGGTGCGTTGGTGTGTTTACAATCCTTTAGCTAGACACGGAGCACTGATTGGTGCGTTTACAATCCTCTAGCTCGACAAAAAAGTTCTCCAAGTCCCCACTCCACCCAGGAAGTCCAGCTGGCTTCACTTCTCATGTATATCCAATTTACATTAAATACTTGTGTCATTCCATTAAGAAAATACACATTCTTGCCAGAAAAATAATCTTATAATGACTAGCAACTTTTAATCAACAAAACTCAAAACCAAGAAGTATTTGTAATCTTCTAAAGAAACTTAAAAACACCCACTGGAGGCAAACATTAAAAATCACCAATTTGATGTGCCTTGTTCACCTCTGGACAAACACGAGCTAATGCTATTAGACAACGGCCTTAAAGTGCTTTGAGATGCAAATGAATGCTACTTGTAAAATTGGTCATTTTAATATTTTCCAGCTAGCCACATAAAATTCCTGTGAATTCTGGCAACCAAAACTGGAAAAATATGAGCCAAAACCTCTGTATAGCATAGCAAAATATTCTGGTGTGGTATAAAACGCAGTTCAAGAAAATTTTATGTAGTAACACTTTAAGTCAAAGGCAATAAAGATAAGAGGTAAAAATTTCGGAGGGCCAAGATACCTGAATAGAAACAGCTCCAGTCTGCAGTTCCCAGCAAGACCAATGCAGAAGGCTAGTGATTTCTGCATTTCTAACTGAGGTACCCAGTTCATCTCATTGGGACTGTTAGGCAGTGGGTGCAACCCATGGAGAGCAAGTGGAAGTAGGGTTGGGCATCATTTATCCAGGAAGGGCAAGCAGCTGGGGGACCTCCCTCCCCCAGTCAAGGGAAGCTGTGAGGAACAAACTATGCTACCTATCCTGGGTACTATGCTTTTCCCGTGGTTTTTGCAATCCACAGATCAGGATATTCCCTCATGAGCCTACACAAGAACCCTGGGTTTCAAGCACAAAACTGGGCAGCCATTTGGGCAGGCACCGAGCTAGCTGCAGGAGTTTTTTTTGTATGCCAGTGGCACCTGGAACCCCGGTGAGACAGAACCGTTTACTCCCCTGGGAAGGGGGCTGATACCAGGGAGCCAAGTGGTCTCACTCAGCAGGTCTCACTGTCATGGAGCCCAGCAAGCTAAAAATCACTGGCTTGAAATTCTCACAGCCAGAACAGCAGTCTGAAGTCAACATGGGACGATCGAGCTTGGTAGGCATCCACCATTACTGAGTCTTCAGTAGGCTGTTTTCCCCTGACAATGCTAAGAAAACTGGAAGGTTTGGACTGGGCAGAATTGACCACAGTGCAGCAAAGCGGTTGTGGCCACACTGCTTCTCTAGATTCCTCCTCACAGGGCAGGGCATCTCTGAAGGAAAGGCAGCAGCCCTACCCAGGGGCTTACAGATAAAACTCTCATCTCCCTGAGACAGAGCACCTGCGGGGGGAGGTGGCTGTGGGCGCAGCTTCAGCGGACTTAATCTTTCCAGCCTGCCGCCTCTGAAGAGAGAAGCTGATCCTGACAAAGGGGATTCTCCAAGCACAGTGTACCAGCTCTGCTAAGGGACAGATTGCCTCAAGTGGGTCCCTGATCCTCATGCCTCCTGACTAGGAGAGACCACCCAAAAGGGGTTAACAGACACCTCATGCAGGAGAGCTCTGGCTACTAGCACCAGGGCAGTGCCCTCTGGGATGAACCTTCCAGAGGAAGGAGCAAGCAGCAATCTTTGCTGTTCTGCAGCCTCCACTGGTGATACCCAGGCAAACAGGGCCTGGGGTGGACCTCCAGTAAACCACAGCAGACCTCCAGAGGAGGGGCCTGACTCTTAGAAGAAAAACTAACAAACAGAAAGCAACAATATCAACAAAAAAGACCCCCCAGAACAATCCCATCCAAAGGTCATCAGCCTCAAAGATCAAAGGTATATAAATCCATGAAGATAAGGAAAAGCCAGCACAAAAATGCTGAAAATTCCAAAAACCAGAATGCCTCTTCTCCAAATAATCGCAACTTCTCTCCAGCAAGGGAACAAAACTGGACAGAGAATGAGACTGACAAACTGACAGAAGTAGGCTTCAGAAGGTGGGTAATAACATACTTCTCCGAGCTAAAGGAGCATGTTCTAACCCAACACAAGGAAGCTAAGAACCTTGATAAAAGGTTACAGGAATGGTTAACTAAAATAACCAGTTTAGAGAGGAACATAAATGACCTGATGGAGCTGAAAAACACAGCACGAGAACTTCTTGAAGCATACACAAGTATCAATAAACAAATCAATCAACTGGAAGGACATCAGAGACTATTTATGCCTTGCTGATATAAGGCATAAAGACAAGATTAGAGAAAAAAGAATGAAAAGGAACAAACAAATCTTCCAAGAAATATGGGACTACATGTAAAGACCAAAGCCATGATTGACTGGCATACCTGAAAGTGACAGGGAGAATGGACCAAGTTGGAAAACACACTTTAGGATATTATCCAGAAGAACTTCCCCAACCAAGCAAGACAGGCCCACATTCAAATTAAAAAAATACAGGGAACACCACTAAGACACCCCTCAAGAAGAGCAACCCCAAGACACATAATCAGATTTTCCAAGGTTGAAACAAAGGTTAAGGGCAGCCAGAAAGGTCAGGTCACCTACAAAGGGAAGCCCATCAGACTAACAGCAGATGTCTCTGCAGAAACCCTACAAGCCAAAATAGAATGGGGGCGAATATTCAACATTCTCAAAGAAAAGAGTTTTCAACCCAGAATTTCACATCCAGCCAAATTAAGTCTCAAAAGCAAAGGAGAAATAAAATCCTTCCCAGGCAAGCAAATGCTGAGGGATTTTGTCACCACCAGACCTGCCTTACAAGAGTTCCTGAAGGAAACACTAAATATGAAAAGGGAAAACCAGTAACAGCCACTGCAAAAAAACACCAAAATATAAAGATCAATGACACTATGAAGAAACTGCATCAACTAGTGTGCAAAATAATGAGCTAGCATCATGATGACAGGATCAAATTCACACCTAACCATATTAACTTTAAATGTAAATGATTAAAGGCCTCAATTAAAATACACAGCCTGGAGTCAAGACCCATTGGTGTGTTGTATTCAGGAGACCCATCTCATGCAAAGATGCTCAAAATAAAGGAATGGAGGAATATTTACCAAGTAAATGGAAAGGAAAAAAAAGTAGGGGTTGCTATCCTAGTCTCTAGTAAAACAGACTTTAAACCAACAAAAATCAAAAAAGTTAAAGAAGGGCATTACATAATGATAAAGGGGTCAATGCAACAAGAAGAGGTAACTATCCTAAATATATATGCACCCAATACAGGAGCACCCAGATTCATAAAACAAGTTCTTATGGACCTACAAAGAGACTTAGACTGCCAAACAATAATAATGGGAGACTTTAACACCCTACTGTTAATATTAGATCAATGAGACAGAAAATTAACAAGGATATTCAGGACTTGAACTCACCTCTGGATCAAGTGAACCTAATAGACATATACAGAACTCTCCACCCCAAATCAACAGAATATACATTCTTCTCAGAGCCAAATGGCACTTATTCTAAAATCAACCACATAACTGGAAGTAAAACACTCCTCAGCAAATGCAAAAGAATGGAAATAAGTAACAGTCTCTCAGACCACAGTGCAATCAAACTAGAACTCAGGATTAAGACACTCACTCAAGGGGGTGTGCCCAAGATGGCCGAATAGGAACAGCTCCAGCCTCCAGCTCCCAGCATGAGAGACACAGAAGAAGGGCGATTTCTGCATTTTCAACTAAGGTACCGGGTTCATCTCACTAGGGAGTGCCAGAAAATCGGTGCTGGTCAGCTGGTGCAGCCCGACCAGCGAGAGCAGAAGCAGGGCAAGGCATCGCCTCACCTGGAAAGCACAAGGGGGAAGGGAATCCCTTTTCCTAGCCAAGGGAAACTGAGACAGACAACACCTGGAAAATTGGGTAACTCCCACCCTAACACTGCGCTTTACCAAGGGTCTTAGCAAACGGCACACCAGGAGATTATATCCCACACCTGGCCCGG